ACATGCAAATGGCTAACAGACACATGAAAAAATGTTCATCATCATTAGCCATCAGGGAAATCCAAATCAAAACCACATTGAGACACCACATTACTCCAGTTAGAATGGCAAAAAGTGACAAGCAAGAAACTTCAAATGTTGGAGAAGTTGTGGAGAAAGGGGAACCCTCTTACACTGTTGGTGGGAATGCAAGTTGGTACAGCCACTTTGGAAAACAGTGTGGAGGTGCCTCAAAAAATTAAAAATAGAGCTACCCGATGACCCAGCAATTGCACTACTGGGTATTTACCCCAAAGACACAGATGTAGTAAAAAGAAGGGCCATATGCACCCCAATGTTCATAGCAGCAATGTCCACAATAGTCAAACTGTGGAAAGAGCCGAGATGTCCTTCAACAGATGAATGGATAAAGAAGATGTGGTCCATATATACAATGGAATATTACTCAGCCATCAGAAAGGATGAATACCTACCATTTGCATCGACATGGATGGGACTGGAGGAGATCATGCTAAGTGAAATACGTCAAGCAGAGAAAGTCAATTATCATGTGGTTTCACTTATTTGTGGAACATAAGGTATAGCATGGAGGACATTAGGAGAAGGAAGGGAAAAATGAAGGGGGGAAAATCGGAGGGAGAGATGAACCATGAGAGACGATGGACTCTGAGAAACAAACTGAGGGTTTTAGAGGAGAGGAGGGTGGGGAGACGGGTTAGCCCAGTGATGGGTATTGAGGAAGGCACGTATTGAATGGAGCACTGGGTGTTATACACAAACAATGAATCATGGAACACTACATCAAAACCTAATGATGTACTGTATGGTGACTAACATAACATAACAAAATTTAAAAAAAGAAAAAGAAAGAAGAAAAAAACTTGCTTCTATAAAGTAACATACATAGACACAGACATAGACATAGACATAGACATAGACATACATATACATACATATACGTACATAGACATAGACACATAAATATATGAGCAGCTGAAACTTTGAGATGTATATTATTCAGTCTCTAAATATTATCTTGTCTAGATTACTTGGCCATAATTGGGATGACTGCTGAATATGTTTTGTGCTAGAAATTATAGTAATAAGATATTTATGTTTCCAGTCAAGACCTTGAGAAACCTAACTCTTGTTTTCACAGCAACTAAAGATTAAAAAAAAAAAAATTTTTTTTGCTAAGGACCAAGAGGTGATGTTTGAGCAGAAGGAAACAACAGAAATGCTGCTTTCTAGTCCACCCAAAAGGTCTTCTTTACAGCAGTAAGAGCACAATGAAGAACAAAAACTGAAGCAATTGTAGCTTCTTTTCAAATGGAATCATAATATCCATGATTTATCAAGCGCTTATACATAGAGGCTCTTTGCATCTATAATAATGATAATAATCAAAACAATTCCATAAAATAATGATTATTCCCAAGTTTGAAGCTGAGGAAACTTAGATTTCTAATGCCACAAAGGTAATGGCAGAATTAGGACTTGAACAGGGAACTGTGTGAATCCAAAGCCAGTTCTACCTTAGCGTTGTCACCTCAAGTGCCAACTCTGATTCCCTTGGTAGTATCTGTCTAATGCTATGTTGAAAAAAATTCTAAGGCTTCACTGAGACTCAATAAAGGAAAGAGTTCTGTGACTGACTAGTAATGTCTGCCATGAGTATGGGAAAGGGCAGTGGTGGTACATGTACCATGGGTTTTCCATTCCTACTTACACTATGTCACCTCCCTCATTCAGATATTATAATGTAAACTAAATCAGAAAACTTAAAAAGGCTAAAGGTTTATGTTGTGAACACCATAAAGAAAACACCTTTTAAGTAAATCCATAACATAAACAAGATGGGGAAAGTATAGGAAAATTCATTTAGGCTACTGAAAATGATGTTAGTAGAAATTTATTTGCTCAATTAGAGATTATGACTACAAATTTTTCTTATCATTACTTGGCCTTAAAGTCTCTATGGATCATGTTGCTCACATTATTGTAGCAAGTGGTCTTAGAACTAGAACCACAGAAAGATAAAGCAAAGAAGGCTCAGAGAACTGTGTCAGAGGAGTTTAGATGATAAAAACTGACCTCCTTTATCTCAATGAACTAAATAAACACAAAGCTGCTCTGGTTAATGGGAGGTAGGGCTTCACCCACTCAGCCTCCCTATCATTCTCCCAATAAGACCTTGAAGGATCTCAGCAAAACCCTAGTGTTCTTAAAGCACTCATGTCTAATTTCCCTACTTTTTTAGACAAAGGAACTGAGGCTCAGAGAGGCGAAATGTTTGAAATAGAATTCCTTTGAAAATTCTCCCCTCTGATTTGTATTTGTCTCCAATTTAGATGTGTGATATTTGACTATAGTTACTTCTGAAACAATGGTTATTTAAAAATACATTAAGGGGGCGCCTGGGTGGCTCAGTTGGTTAAGCGACTGCCTTCGGCTCAGGTCATGATCCTGGAGTCCCGGGATCGAGTCCCGCATCGGGCTCCCTGCTCGGCGGGGAGTCTGCTTCTCCCTCTGACCCTCCCCCCTCTCATGTGGTCTCTCTCATTCTCTCGCTCTCAAATAAATAAATAAAATCTTTAAAAAAAAATAAAAAAAAATACATTAAGGTACCTTTCACCCTAATTCTGTGTTCCACTAGCCTCTCACCACTGTTGCTTAGTTCTCTTTATTCTATTCCACTACATGTACTGGCACTGCCTCCCCTATCTCGGCACCAAATTTCTCTCTCTCTCATTCACACGCAGTTCCTCTGGGAAGGAGTATTTAAAGATGGACGTCAGGGACATCTCCTGCCTCTTGGATACCTTGGCTGCCCCTATTGAAACCTGGTGTCTTTCCATGAATGTGATTAGACCTACACACAATGTATGAATTCAAAACAAGGTGTTTTGTTATTTTCTTTTTTTAACTGAAAAACACTTTTATTATATAATGACCTTGAAAAAATATTACAGTTGAATATTGTGCTTATTTTTTTATTATGTTCAGTTAGCCACTGTATAGTACATCATTAGTTTTTGATGTAGTGTTCAGTGATTCATTAGTTGCATATAACACCCAGTGCTCATCACAACACATTTTGTTATTTTCTTTTTTTCAATAATAAAGATTTTTTCCCATTCCTTGATTTATTTTATTTTATTTTATTATGTTATGTTAGTCACCATACAATACATCATCAATTTTTGATGTAGTGATCCACGATTCATTGTTTTCGTATAACACCCAGTGCTCCATGCAGTACATGCCCTCCTTTATACCCATCACCAGGCTAACCCATCCTCCCACCCCCCTCCTCTCTAAAACCCTCAATTGTTTCTCAGAGTCCATAGTCTCTCATGGTTCGTCTCTCCCTCCAATTTCCCCCCCTTCATTTTTCCCTTCCTTCTCCTAATGTCTTCCATGCTATTCCTTATGTTCCACAAATAAGTGAAACCACATGATAATTGACTTTCTCTGCTTGACTTATTTCACTTAGCATAATCTCCTCCAGTCCCATCCATGTCGATGCAATTGGTGGGTATTCATCCTTTCTGATGGCTGAGTAATATTCCATTGTATATATGGACCACATCTTTATCCATTCATCTGTTGAAGGGCATCTCGGCTCTTTCCACAGTTTGACTATTGTGGACATTGTTGCTATGAACATTGGGGTGCATATGGCCCTCCTTTTCACTACATCTGTGTCTTTGGGGTAAATACCCAGTAGTGCAATTGCTGGGTCATCGGGTAGCTCTATTTTTAATTTTTTGAGGCACCTCCACACTGTTTTCCAAAGTGGCTGTACCAACTTGCATTCCCACCAACAGTGTAAGAGGGTTCCCCTTTCTCCACAACTACTCCAACATTTGAAGTTTCTTGCTTGTCACTTTTTGCCATTCTAACTGGTGTAATGTGGTGTCTCAATGTGGTTTTGATTTGGATTTCCCTGATGGCTAATGATGATGAACATTTTTTCATGTGTCTGTTAGCCATTTGCATGTCTTCTTTTGAGAAGTGTCTGTTCATGTAGAAGCAAGTTTGAGAAAGTTATCACTGGCTGATTTGCCCCTGCACCACCTATCTATCCATCCTTCACCTCCAGTTAATTTAGTGTACAGACCTACTTTATAAAAACAATTTTAAGGGAAATTTGTGCCCAGTAAATCATGTAGTTTCTCTTACAAAGGCAGAAAACAATTTCTAGCATGAAAAGAGACAAGGAGACTTTGCTGCAAACACCTTCTCTCCATGTGACTGTGCTGTGTGTCATCAGGGCTGGGTTTGAAGTAAAATTCTGGCCTGAAAGGCTCTCTCTCTGCTTTGCTTTTTTCTTTCCTTTTGTTTCCTCCCCTCCCTTCCCCTCCTCCCCTCCCCTCCTTTCTTCCTCTCCCCTCCTCCCCTCCCTTCCCCTCCTCCCCTCCCCTCCTCTCTTCCTCTCCCCTCCTCCCCTCCCCTCCCCTCTCTTCTCTTCTCCTCTCTTCTTCTTTCTTCTCTTCTTTCCTTCCTTCCTTCCTTCCTTCCTTCCTTCCTTCCTTCCTTCCTTCCTTCCTTTTTAAAACATAGCAATAAGCTACCTTGCAGGTCCATTTAGCTGTGGGCTTGACCCGAATTTGCAGTTAATACAATTCTCCTTTTAAAGGGCTTTCAGTGGCCCATTTCTTTGAGAAAATTACCAAGTTTTTAGACCTAAGATATTATTTTTTAAAATCTTACTTTGAAATTCTTTTGAAGACCTTTATTTGGGTAAAATAAAGAAAGTGAAAACTAGCAAGTTTGGATATTTTTTGAAAAAGGTAACTGGATGTTCTAGAACTTGATCATGGTAGTGGGTACATGGCTGTATACTTTGTTCAAACTCATTGAATGGTACATTTAAAATAGTGCATTTTATTACATGAAACTGACCAAAATAAAGTTGGTTTAAAGAGGTTATTGGAGTATCCTAGACTCAGGGTCAATGTCTTATTTGAAGTGTTCCACAAGGTACCTTTCTTCAGTGCCCTGGGAGGGCTGGGACAGACTGCGCCTTGGATTGCAGCTCTGGGATAGGAAGGGTCAGCAAGCATGTCTTGTTGCCGATTTTCAACAGCATGGAACTGGTGGACATGATGGAATCGTTCCTTCTTGAAGCCCAGAACTACCTGCAGGTCAATGGGGACAAGGTAGAAAGGTACCACTGCTACAGCCTGCAGGAATTTACACCTCCATTGGGCAGATATGATGTCATCTGGATTCAGTGGGTCTCTGTTCAGTCCTGCATGGCCTAACATCTGCCTTTCTCCCCTTCCCAGATAGAGAAGACAATACCTGGGGCTAATTTGAGGATTTATGGAGAGGAAGCAAAGACGTAAAAGGAGATATAGTTGTAGTTGTGCTTAGAGCAGTTAGCTAGACTTAGGAATCATAGAAACCCCCAAAGCTCTGGTACTCCCAATCTCTCCCCTAGGATCCTCTGCTACAAGCCTGAAAATTCCCATGATGGAGTACCTTTGTACCATCCTAACTCTAAGAAGAAAACCAAATACTTGAAAAACTTTAAAAAGTGGAGTCAAAAAAAGTTTATCCCCATTTATTGGCAAAACTAGACTTTCTTAGATTTAAATTCCCAGGAAATGAGGTAGCAATGAATTAGAATTTGGTCTAAGTGAGTGTGTGTGTCTAGGAGACACAGAGGAGTGATGACAAAATTAGGTTGTCTGGGGACAATGGCAGGGACTCTTGGGCTAGGCAATAGTTTATTTTGTGCCTGTGAGGTAGATAGACTAGGTGTTTGAATACTTATTTTATAGATGGGACAAGGAGCCTCCTCAGAGAGGATACCTGTCCTCTTACTTAAATTCTCAAAGTGACCTGCAACTAGACCAATTCAGGCTATTAAATAATTCACGAATGAGTGAACAAATGGTCTCTTTATTCTTAGCCTTGTGGTCTTTCCTACCTTCCTACTCTCCTCCCTCCCACCCACCATTTCATCCTGTTCCTGCATCTACTTGGCCTCATCTGTAGGATACCTGACCGATAAAGACCTTCTTGCATTTCTTTCCCGGTGCCGAGCTGGCCTGAAAGAAAATGGTGTCATCATACTGAAGGACAGCGTGGCCCGGGAGAGCTATCTCTTCGATCTCTCTGACAGCAGTGTGACTCGGGACATGGACATCCTCCGGAGCCTCATTAGGAAGAGTGGGCTGGTGGTGCTGGGCCAGGAGAAGCAGGACAACTTTCCAGAACAGTGCATCCCGGTGTGGATGTTTGCATTGCACAGTGATGGACACTCCTGACCGGCAGTGGGAATGTAGGGCTGGACTGTACAGGGTGCTTTGGGACAGAGGTCCTCTCCTCATAATTCATGGGGTGATGGAGAGAAGAGATGCAAGGCCTGTCTGGAAATGATTGATGTAGTACGTACAAGTTTCCACTAATTTTATAAGGACATGCTCACACTCGATGGATTTTCTGGAAGATAAATAGAGTGAAACATCAGGAAAAATGTTTTAAGAACTGCTTGTATACACCCAAACTATACAAGTGTACATAAAAACAGAAAAGGGATCAATGTTCACACATTCTAAATGGCCTTGGTCCGTGAAGATTTGCATTATGGAGTATCCCAGGATGTGTGGGGTAAAGTCTAGACCCCTTTCTCTGCCCTCATGCTAGATACATTCAATTTCATTCCTTTTTGAGACTACTACTCCTTTTAGACAAAAATCTCACCCTAATTAAGAAGGCACCAGTCAAAATAATCTTATGAAAATGAATCCATTGCTTAATTTTTTCTTTAGCCTTTCTTTTCCCAGAAAAAGTATATGTGGTTTCACTTTCTATTTTGGGTCAATTTCACCACCAAATGATGTAATATGGATGTAATTTGATAACAGAAGTCTACATTTCAGTGATGAGGAAGTGTCTCCTTTCAGGAGAAAATATTATATGTTGAAATTTCAGCTATGAACATGTAAGTAAATGTCCTTGATAATCTAATTTTAGCCATTGGCCTCCAACACTTCTTGCTTCATTGTAGCCACTCCTGTTTCTTTCATTGATATGAATGTACATTGGAAAGAGAAGGGAAATGATAAACCATGAGAACTAAGCTAACTGGATTAATTTAATTAAAAATAATCTAGGGACACCTGAGTGGTTCAGTTGTTTAAGCATCTAACTCTTAATTTTGGCCCAGGTCATGATCTCAGGGTTGTGAGATTGTGTCCTGCATCAGGCTCCACGCTAGGCATAGGATCTTCTCTCTCCCTCTCCCTCTGCCCCTCCTCACCTCAAAAAAAAAATCTAAAATCATTTAAAAAAATGTAATTTAATTATTATTAGCAGAATGTTTAAATATAACTGATTTAAGGCACTCCAATATCTTCATGTTGAAAATATACATATTTGTATATTGACATATATTTGTATCTTGATATATATTGAGTCTTGTATGAGATACAAAATATCAATTTAAGTAAAGAAGGTCTACTGCATGGATATGCTATAACCATAAAAATCATACTTGTAAGTCAGAGCTCTAACTTAGGAGGAAAACAATCATTATGAAACATTTATTACCTTGTTAGAGGATTACTGTGTTAGTTTTATTTATGTCCTGGAAAATTAAGTCACTTATTTTGCCTCTGGCACCTTCTACCTCTTGTGTTACTCACCATGCTCTAGGGTAACATAACAGAATGTGAGTTGAAACCATTAGAGAACAAGCCAAAGACCAGAACTAAATCAAATGGCAAGCCATTGCTAAACAAACTGAGTATGGCAAAACAAGGGCATTCATGTTTTAATCCTCTGCCTTGAAGCAAATTAGTCAAATTATTTTTTAAGGCCCATTCCAGAAATTTTCTTTTCCTTTTATACCAGCACCCTTAATTCTCTTATCTTTTGACTTTCTGTTTTGCCAATATTCAAATGTTAGTTGACAAATTATCAATTTTCTCTGCTCCTGGGTTTTTGAGCTTTGGAGGAAATAACATGTTGTCCAAGAAATGTGTTCTTTAACTCAGATGAATCTTGGAGGTTGACCAGCAGTCCCTTTATGTTCCTAAGTCAAGTCACTTTACAATTTTCCTCAGATAGTTTTCAGATCTTTACTGCTTTACACAATTTCCCAACTCCATATCCATCCTTAACTTGAGAAAGTAGAAGTTGGGGAGTACATTGCATTAACATCCCCTCTCTATACTGCTAATAACAAGTACAAGGTAAAGGGAAGAGTGGCTGGAGAGGAGAGGTCACTGGAGCCAGATTATACTGTCTAATGGGTCATGCTAAGGTTTGGATGTGTTATACAAACAATAAGAGAAAGTTCTAGAAGATTTAAGTAAGGACTGATTTTCCTAGTCTTGGGACTAGAGGTGTAGATTCTGTAGAAGGAAGACATTTAGAGTGAGACCTACTCCAGGCATCTTCAATCTAATTCAACAAGCCAAACACACTGCTGATGTTCATTGATACATCTGTGTTGTGGTGCAAGTGAGAGCCTATGTTAGTCCCCCAATTCTGTCCATATTCCACCTGCCTTGGAATCATGTGGGAAGCTTTTATAAAGTAGAGATTGACAGGTCCTGTCCCCATGAGAATCTAGTTCTGTGAAGTGGGCTCAGATATAATCTGTATTTTTTATAAGGTCTCAAACTGACTCTGATAATTAGTTGTGTTTGAGAATACTGATGGGAAAATAAGTGTGGAGCTGGGCTATTCAGAGCCACAGAAAGATAAGGTAGGGAAGGTGAGAGTATGGGCCTGTTTCAGGGAAATAGCTAGATAGTGAAATCCATTCTCCACACTGATGCAGTCTTTCTGAAATATAAATCTGACTATGTCATGTATAAACTTTCAATGACTCCCCATCACTGATGGGGTGAATTCCCATCTCCTTAGAATGACATATAAAACCTTTTGTGATCTAGCCCTGCTTTCCCTCTGCAGCTTCAGATTTTCCACATCCTCTGCAGCTGTACTTAACTACTTTAGTTCCCTAAAGGAGCTATGATTTATAGCTCATGGCAGTTACAGATATTACTTCCTTAGCAAAGAACATCTCTCATTCTTTTTTGTCTGGCCCAGACTCCTTAGATGTTGCTGACTCTAGGAAAGCTTCTCATAGCCCCTAGGTGCTGGGTCAGGTGCCCTTGCTCTGTGCTACCTTCATACCCCATGCTTAACATATCACAGTCCTCATCATGTGGCATTGTAATCAAGGCTACTTGATATTTCCTCTGTTAAATTCTGAGCTCTTTAATGGAGCATTCATGATTAGAGTCTCAGTCATAGGCATAGGCCCTAGCACAGCAGAAATTCGAGCTTTTCTTGAAAGTATAAAAGGTGATGTTACAAGTAGAAAGACTCAGGAGCAGTTTAAGTTTCTGGCATCAAACATGAATCAGAGCAAAGCAGTGGGTAAAAAACAAGGGTTTCTGAAGTTTCATGAGCACTGGGATGTGTAAGACTGGTCAAAACAGTGATCAAACAATTCAAGCTCACAAGAACCAGGAAATGCACAGAAACAAGAAGGCAGTGAGTTCAGGTATCAAGCATCTGGGAGGAGATTGTAGCAAGGAAATTATGTTCCGAGGTGAAATGCTGTCTAATTAGGAGACCCCTTTTTCTAATAAGAGCCAATCCAAGGGCATAGCCAACCCAAATCCCATAGATTCATCAGGTGAGAGGGTGGATTTCGTAAGAGAGATTTATTAAAATTGTGGGTACATCATAACAAAGCAACTCCTAATCCTCTCCCATTTCCTGGTAGACAACAAATCCAAAGAAACAAACTAGGTTATAGATGAAGTTAATCCTTCTGTGAATATTGAATACAAGAAAAAAGTGCTCACCTGTACTTCACAGATGAATTAATTGCAAACATGCCTGCAATTCTAGATGAACTTTGGAGGACCCCTTAGTTTATGTAGTGATTCATGAATGGGTGCAATCTTCACCTACCTCCTCTTCTGAGAACCTGAGCCACCACTCCTAAACACCAGCATAAGAGCATGCCAAGTCTTTAGGGGTCAGCAATTTTATAGATTTGGGACCATCATAAAAATATAAAACAAAATGAATAAGGTCATCCATGTGAAAGATGATCTGCTTTGTATTATGGACACATTTTGGCCTGATTCTGTTTTTTTCTATCTCTACCATTTCCTGAAACTGGCCTGCTTTGAGTGATGTATTGGGGAGAAGACCTGTGTCAGATATATTCGGCTGCCTGTCATGTATAATTAAAACCAGTTGTGTTATGCTTTCTTTAGTTCCAGCTGACGCTTTGATGCTTTGGTGTCCATGCCAGAAAACTACCTCTTATAATCATCAGAGGCCAGTGTTTTTACAGAGGTCACTGCAAGCTAATTAAGCAAATATGTGAAAAATAGTTTTAAATTATCTCAATTAGTAGAGTGTGTGTATAGATGTATCTAGAGTGGGGTTGAGGAGAGACTTTTAAAATAATAACTGACTTGCAGAGTTAGTGATTTGGTGACAGAGAACTATGCATATATAGTACATTTGTAGGTTCATTAAGTTGGCATGGTCTGAACTTTTGCTATATGACAGGCAAATAAACATATAGAAAATGTCCAAGAAGATCATGGCTCTGTAATGGGAAAGACAGATAAATAAATAGTAATGAATCAGGACAAAAAGAACTAGAACAGAAGTATGGACAAAGAATTAAAGTAATATAGAGACCGGAATGACTCACCACATCTCTGCGATTTGAGGAATGCCACATGGAATCCATTCATCCAACATTTTTTTAAATACCTACTATGTGTCATCCAGGGCTTGAGAGTCTCAGGATACACCAGGGAATCAAATCCAAAGATCCCTGGCCTTGTGGAGTTTGTATTCTAGGAGAGTTGGGGAATGCAGTAAATATAAATTAGTAAATTATTTGTTATGTTAGAAAGTGGTAAGTTTTGGAGAAAAAAAGGGAAAAATAGAGAAGAATAAGGGGAGATTGAGAGTCATGAAGGAAGGCTGTAATTGAAAATAGTGGCCAGCATTGGCTTCCTTGATGAGGTGACATTTGAGCAAAGAAGTGAAGAGGGTGAGGACATTGGCCATGTGGATGTCTGGAGGAAGAGGGGACAGCCAGTGCAAATGCCTCAAATCTTGAATATGCTTGGCCTATTTGGGGACCAGTGAGGAGGTCAATGCAGCTGTAGCAGGGTGGATGAAGGAGAGAATGCAGTAAGGTATGAGATTTAGGGATATGGCTGTGGCCAGATCATGTAGGGTCTTGAAGATTATGGAAGAGGCTTTTACTCTGATCCAGAAGGGGAACTATTGAGAGTTTTGAGCAGAGAAGTGACATGATCTTTTCTTGACTTGAGAAGAGGTAACAGTGGATGGAAGCAAGGAGACCAGATAGACCAGGAGTTGGTAAACTATGACTCCTGGTCCAAATTCAGGTTGTTGCTTTTGTGTAAATAAACTTTTTTGGAACACAGTTGTGCTCATTTGCATTATAACAGCAGAGATGAGTAGTTGCCACAAAGACTATATGGCCTGTAAAGCAGAAAATATTTACTATATGGCCCTTTCCAAAAACACTGTGCTGATTCCTAAATGACAATATTGCAGTAATTCAGGAGAAAAGTAATAGTGGGTCAGACCAGAGTGGTAGCACTGACAGCAGTGAGAAATGTTTGGAGTGTAGATATATTTGAAATGAAAGCCAACTGGGCTTGCTGAATGGTATGTGTGGGAATGTAATAAAGAGAGAAGCCAAAGATGAGTCTAAACTTTTTGACCTGAACCACTAGAAAAACATAGTTGTTATTATTTGAGGTATGGAAAGTGGGTGGTTACCCAGTTTTCATGGTGAGAAATCAGGAATCAGAAGAGCTTAAACCCAACATTTCTGAATTTTCAGATGACACCAAGTGAAGATGTTGAGAAGCTGAGTGAATATGCAAGTCTGACATTCAGGAGAGAAGACTGGGATGGAGGTGGAAAATCAGCATAGAGATCGTATTCAGTGTTGTGATTGGGGTGAGTTTACCAG